CCAGGCACAACCCAGATGTTAAACACACTGTTTCAAATGTGTAGACATCACACTTTCAACTGTGTAGCTAGATGCAATTGTATGATGTTGAACAAATTATCTCAAAGATGTACAAAGCATATCATATATTTTTATATCAATTATATATTAAATTAAATGCATCAAATGAAGCAAGTGTGCACAATTCTGACTGTCCTTTGAGTGAAGACTTCAGCCTCTTCTCTCCACTTAAAGGTACATTTCTTTTTATCTAGTCTACTATTTGTACTAAGTCTTTTTTTCCCACTCAAAAAATAAATGCTGTGCCAGTTCTAGTTGTTTGAGTGTTGCCCACTGTGTGAGCTTCCACCATCACTGTTATTGTCCTTCTGTACTGTTCTCATCCTCCTCCTGGGCATCAGTTTATGCATGCACAGTAGGTAGCTTTTGAGCATATTATAAGGCCCCTTTTTCATATAACCTCATCAATTCTGATATTCAGACAGTATTTATAACCTTGTAGCACTGCTTCTCTAACTGCCAAGGATGATCCTTGGCCAGAGCCCAGCTATTATCAGAGTTCTGATAAATTAAGTAGTTGGCATTGATCCATATAGAGAACATGATGCTCACCCTCTCAGCCATCTTGACAAATGACTTGTGAATGTTTTCACCATTGCACCTCTGTGTATTGACATCAGAAATCTTCTTTGCAATCCACCAGCAAAATCATTAACCTTTTCTAGTAATAAAGCACCACTGCTTGCAAAGTACCTGTAAGCATGTTGCCACATTAGGGTGCAGAATAATGACAGACCTTCCTGAATGGTAGACAGCCTTGCATAGGTATTTCTTTTTTAGGGTTGGGGGGAGCCGAGCCGAGCGAAGCGAGGCGAGGTGACGTTGCTGAGGTGAAACTGGAAGGCGAAGGTCCGAGTTCTGTGAGGAACTCCGGAGGCTTTCGTGGTGACACTCATCAGCGCATTCCAGGAAGTACTTATACCTTGCGCCATGGGACCCCGAGGAGGGGCAGTACCATGGACACCGCGTGCCGAAGCCGAAGCCGTCGGACGGGTGCGTAATGGGCATTATGACTATCCGCGTTGTGATTGGCCGGCCCTCGGCGAAATCGGCGGACGGAGTCATTCTAACCTTGTAAGAGGCTCGGGCATACTATATGGGGATGGTCAGCAGGACCACATTGATGCGACTTAAGACCGGTTGGCGCGGTCAAAAGATGACGTATGTATGACGTCATAGTCACGTGGTGGATCCAGACCGTCGGGGGACCGCCCGCTGATGGCCGTAAGGCGCATCACCGACGTCGGCCCGACGTTCGTGGGGCGGGATGATCCGCCATCACCGCCCGCCGCCATCAGGCGCATCAGATGCGCCCGATAGCCGCCGGGACGATAAGCGCCTCGGTCGGCGCTTGTTCTGGGTCACGTGATTTAGACGCTTTTCTACCACGATCACGTGGTCGTACTTCAGGCGCCGTTAGGCGCTTACGCATCTATCTCGAATATAGTATTTAGCCGGTTAGGGTTGGGGGAAGCGAGACCGAGCGAAGCGAGGTCGAGCGACGTTGTAGTTGGTGTCAGGTAGGTCGGAGGTCCTCGCAGTGGTGAACTGCACAGGAGACTTTCGTTGACACTCATCAGCGTCCTACCGGAAGTACTTATACCTTGCTGGCTGGACCCCGGTTACCGGGACACCAGCCACCCGCTGACGCGGCCTCGGAGGGACACGGAAGCAAGGGAATAATGCGATTGGCCGTCGGGCTTCTTTGCCCGCGCACGAGACCTCGGTCTCGGCGAAGAAGCATCGGCTGTGGAGTTAGAAGACTCGGGCATACCATATGGGGATTACCGCAAGACCGTATTGATCCGACATACCGGCTAGTCAGTTAGCCGGTGATGCCGTCATTCATGACGTCATGCCACGTGATGGATCTAGAACATCGGTGACCGCCGTGATGCGCCGTGAGGCGCATCACCCGACAAAAGCCGACGGTCGTGGGGCGGGATGATCCGCCATCACCGCCCGCCGCCATCAGCGCATCATTGATGCGCCAACAGACGCCGGCTTTCAAGACGCCCGGTGGCGCCTATCTAGGTCACGTGACTTAGACGCCTCCTATATGGAAGTTATGAGGACTAGTAGGGGTCGGCAGGGGTCGAATTAGACGCCGCTCCATCCACAAGTGCTCATTAGCACCGGTGTGAGAGAGTACACGCTCTGGGCGGATATTGTGCACCGACTCACTTGCCCGGATGCTGTACACATGCATCCACAAGAACGCACACGCTCTGGGCGGACACTATGAACCGACTCGCCACAGCGCTGTGGTCTGGATTAGTGGCCAACACGCACATGCTCTGGGCAGATACCGTCTGCCCAGTCACTCACCGCGGTGACGTGTACAGCATCTGGTGACGGGCACACGCTCTGG